ACGCTTGGATGTTCAGCAATTTTTCTATCCAGCAAGAATCCAGGAAAGCTTGATCTAAAAGGCCGAGAAGGTGTTTTAATTGGTTACGAATTGGGGGCTAAGGCGTATCGAATATAGGATCTAGAAGACAAGAAGGTCGTTATTACTCGGGTGGTATTATTTAATGAAGAACATCTACCTTTTAGTCATTCGCCTTCTTTTACGGATGAACCAAAATTTCTGGTACTTGAAGACCCTGGCTATGATATAGATTCTCCTCCTTCTGTCACTTCGTCTTCATCTCATGCTCCTACAGTTTTACCTATTTCACCTATTACTTCAATTCCTACTTCCACTCGATCTCCTTCTGTTCCTTTACCTTATTCTACTCGTCAACTATCTAATACTACTAGTCATCTTCGTCCTTTGATCTTATCGCCTGCTGCTTCTCCTGCCAAATCACCCAAGTCACCTATTCCTCCTGATGCCTCAATTATCTCGTCCGGCTCAGGGATCGTACATGCTCCTGGAGGGAAGAAAGCTGTACCTGCACGACAATCCAAACGTGTTACAGGTAAGCCTAATCGATTAGGCGATCTGCAAGCTTTTCATGCAGGAATAGACTCAAGTGATGAACCCACTTATAAACAGGCGATGGCTGCTTCGGACGCTGACGAGTGGCTCAAAGCGATGCAAGCTGAATTCGATTCTCTCAAAGCTCATCATGTTGGAAGATTGGTTGCTAGACCTGTAGGAGCTCGTGTGATTGGTGGGATGTGGGTGTTAAAGAAGAAAAGAAACGAAAAAGGGGAAGTTACAAAGTACAAGGCACGTTGGGTGTGTTTCGGGAATCATCAAGTAGAAGGCATCGATTTCAATGCTACTTATTCAGCTGTAGGTAAATCTGATACCTTTCGACTCTTGGTGGCTATTGCTGCGTATCTGAAGTGTTCGGTAGTTCAATTCGACATCATCACTGCGTTTTTGCACGGTTTGATTAAAGAACATGTTTATATTCAACAAGTTAAAGGTTTTATTGAGCCAGGTTGTGAAGGGATGGTGTGGGAATTGGTGAAGTCGTTGTATGGAACCCGTCAAGGAGCTTGTGATTTTAGTGATCATCTACGAAGTGTATTAAAGGCTTTTGGTTTCGTTACTTCCGAGGCTGATAACTGCCTTTTCATTTATCAACACGGAAGTCACTTTCTTTATCTTCATATTCATGTAGATGATGGTTTTCTTATCTCTACCTCCGACGAACTGATTGAAGATTTCCGGCAACATCTATTAAAAACCTATGAAGTCAAATGGAAGCCTCGGCCTACGTTGCATCTGGGTATGCGACTTACCTATCTAAACGATGGAGGTATCTTTTTGGATCAGTCTCATTACCTTCAAGACATGCTTGAAAAGTTTGGAATGGACGATTTGAACTCTGCCAAGATCCCTTTTCCGGTTGGCATGAAGTTATCTGCCGGTTCTCCTGATGACATACAAGCTGCCGCTCACTTACCTTACCAGTCCCTCATTGGATCTCTCAATTGGGCTTCTGTGAGCACTCGTCCCGACATTGCTTATGCCGTGAGTCAATTGGCCCGATACAATTCCTGTTACACTTTCGATCATTGGAACGCCGCGAAGCATCTGGTTCGATACATCGCTGGATCTCTTTCGCGTGGTATTCTTTTCACTGGCGCCATGCCTGTCGAGTTGAAAGGATTCGCTGACGCAGATTACGCCAACGACCTCAATGATCGCCGTTCTGTGACCGGGTATTTGTTTACCTTCGGTGACGCCATCATCTCTTGGCAAAGTCGCCAACAGAAGTCAACTGCTTTATCGACGACCGAAGCCGAATACATGTCACTTTCAGACTGCGCTCGACAAGCCATTTGGTTCAAATTACTCTTCAAAGACCTCAATCTTCCGGTTTCGGCTGTTAGTGTTTCATCTGTGGGAGAGGCTGTTCAGCTGTTTAATGATAATCGTGGAACTGTGCTTTTGTCAAAGGAACCTGTGGTAAACGAGCGCTCTAAGCATATCAACGTTCGCTACCATTTCATTCGAGATCATGTCAAGCTGAACAACATTGTCACTGCTCATGTTCCAACCACCGCAATGCCTGCGGATTTTTTGACTAAACCTTTGGCTATTGAGGCTTTTGAGCGCTGTTGTGGTCAAGCCTCAGTTTGTGACTGCTCGAGTTAGGGGGGAATGTTGGTGTTTGTTACGACGGCGAATAGTGTTGCATGATTGATCTTTACGTAGTGTGTGATCCTTTTTCTGTTTTCTGATTCTGATGATCTGTTGCGACCTGTGATCTTATTTGTTATGTTTTCTACTATTTGATTTGTTGTCATGCCTGCTCTTTTCTTGTCTAGAGTTTAACTCTTCGCTGCGTACATGTTTTTCTTTCTCTTCATAAGCTGCCTATGAGTCAAAGGGTTTGATCCTCATCGATTCAAACCCTTTATTCACTTTCACTCATCTGCAATATCCTTACTTACGACGTAATTGCATTACCGTGAATGACTCATAGGTAAGCTCATTTCAGTCTAGTAGTGTTTTCCTCTCTCTATCTCTCATTTATTTACTGTGTGTGTGTGCGTGTTTGTCCTATGCGTGTTTGTCTGAGAAATAAATGTTATGATCGATTCAAACCCTTTATTCACTTTCACTCATCTGCAATATCCTTACTTACGACGTAATTGCATTACCGTGAATGACTCATAGGTAAAGCTTCCATCAAAGTCGCAAGCTGCCAGCACGTTTTGGCTGAAGGTGCCTTTGTGATTACGATAAGGAGCCTGGTCGGCCTCTGGAACAATTGCCTGAATATGGGTTCCGTCGATAGCTCCGACACATCCTTGAAACCAGGGATAAAGGACTGGAGTGCTACTGATAGATTGTGGAATTGGAGCTCCTGGATTCGGCTGGATGATCAATCGAGATTCTAGATTCTCAAGAGCCAAAAGGACCTTATTGTAATATTGTGAGATTGTTTCTCCAGAATGTTGAAACCTCTCGGAGGCGAGAGCGTTTGACCCAGCATTTCCAAGCACAAAAAGAAATATCATCACTTGTTCCATGACGGTGACATGTTTGGTATCCTCGAGGTCTCCTTGAAGATGTCTCACTAGGCCATTAAAAGCCACTTTGTTCATTCAGCATAATTCTCGGAAGCGTACTGGGCTCCCTTCGTAAACCTCACGCGCATACATAGCGCCTGTAAGTGCCGACGTTCGACACGGAATTTTGGGGCGATTTGCTAGTTCAATACGATCACGAGCAGCACCGATGAGGAGCTCCATCAGTTCTTCATCGCTGTCTGAGGAAGCTGACGATGACAAGGACGAGGAGGTCCATTGATCTTTGTCAGATGAGAAGTCGGAGTCTGACATGGTTTTTGAGATGAAGGAGTTAAGTTTGAAATGGTGGTCAAGAAAGGTAATGATGATTGAAGTTGATCAAATCTGATCAACTTCAGCCAAACATGAATTGCATCACCGCCAACATATTTACCTCGGATTTTGTAATCCGAGGTATCCTCGGATGCAAAACCTCGGACAGAAGCTTCCCGAGGTTTTGATCCGAGGTTATTTCCAGGGCAAAAAAATACCTCGGGCGAAAACCTCGGACAAGGTCTGTCCGAGGATTTGCCTCCGATGATGCCTCGGATTTCTCAACCCGAGGCATCTATGCTGGCAGTGCATTATCAGGTACATTAGTTACAAAAATTCAAAAAAAGGAGAAAAATCGAATTAACGCATTTTGTGGCAACAAAATGCACTCGACTTTAAGGCACATTAAATTAATTAACCCCAGCCAAACGTAGCCTAATAAGTCTACTTAATCTAAAGATCAGACACCAAAATCTATATAAACATTCATTCAGGTGGTCATCAAACTGGCTTAGGCTATCTTCCGGTTGATAAACCCAAACTGAATCTCAAATGTTTTCAAGAGTTTTCTTTTTTTCCTTTTGCTTATGATCTCAATGAGTTTCTCTGTTGAGTGATCTGTTACCAAATCATCACTGTGTGATGATGCTTCAATCGGTTTAAATCTTTCAGTTGCCTGGAGTGCTCTGAGAGCGCTTTGT